ACAAATTACACAAACATTAATGCACAAATTGATAATGGAAGGAAAACTTACACAGGTACCCCAAGTACTGCAGAGCATGCCACTATTCTCTAGACTACCACAATGGCTTTACAAATAGTTTCACTCAACGTCAAAGGTCTCAACTCTCCACACAAAAGGAGGCTAGTGCTCACAGAAATTAAAAAGCAAAAAGCACATGTTATATTATTTCAAGAGACACATTTCAAATGGGGCCATAGGCCAAAACTTAGCTTAGTACAATTCCCAGATTACACCTTCCTAAATGTTTATGGCCCCCGCGAAAACAAATTAAAAAAGTTTGAAAAAATCTTTGCCATAACAACCCTACACAGCCTAGGTTCGATTATTGTAGGAGAAGACACAAACTTTATGCTTAACAGATCCTTAGACTCATCCTCACCATCCTACATTCCAACCCTCAACAAGAAAAAAACTGAAAATTATAACCCAAAAAATGTGCCAAATAAATAATGCAACATGGTTTTGTTGATCCACAGCGTATTCATCATTCAAATGAAGTGTATTATACGTTTCACTCATCAGCACATAATGTTTATACCAAAATCGACAGGTTTTTAGTTCCTACCACACTTCTCCCATGCATCCAGAACACACAGATAGGAGTGATGACATGGTCCGACCATGCCCAATATCATCTATCTTATACCGAAAAATGCCAAAACTGGAGCGGAGGCACATGGCGCTTAAATGACACACTCCTATTAGACCCAAAGCTAGTGGACAGAATTCACTTCTTACTTCATGATAAATATACCTCCAGAGTCCTCCACTGAAAACATTTATCAGACACACAAGGCAGTGTATGACGCCACTTTATCAAAGCAGCAAGCTTTGCCAAAAAACAGAGGTTAGAGAAATACACTAAACACATTCAAGAGCTAACAGAGCTTACCCATAACAACAAGTTAGAACCGTCCCCCACAGCACACAAACGTATTATCACCTTACAACATCAACTCAGAGAAATGGAACAGCACAAAACCTACCATCTACTTCAATGCTATAAACATTAATTTTTCGCTCATGGCAACAGAGCTGGAGCGACTTCAGCCTCCCAACTGAAATTGCGTCTTCCCAAATCTAAGATTGCAAAGATACACTTGAAAAATGGCACCAAACTTCTGAATCTGCAAGCCATAATGGAGGAATTTGATAATATACAAATAGTAAGAATGTGATAAAAAAAGGTGCTCGATCACCTGTGCGAATCACTCTAAAAGCACACAAAACAGTGAAAAAGTAAAAGTACAAAAGTGAGAGCACACTATATAACATAAATACCACAAATTCTCGATTGATGTGGAATCTAAAAATATAAATACAAACAGACCATAGGGTAATATAGTTAACACAGTAAAATATATATACACTTTGCTGGTCCAACTCACATGGTTCTGAACCACTTAACAAAGCTGGCTCAGACTAGTGGCATGGTATGGAGGATACAGCGGATGATAGTAGTGGGTCAGGATTTTCTTTTTGCCAATCTCAGTGAAATCAATATTACACCATAAATGCTTCGAGGATGCAGGAAATAGGTGAAGAAAAAGTAAATTTCTTAGACAAAAATAAATAATAAAAATGACCTCACATAAAAACTAAAAGTCTGCTTGTCCACTGACGCATTTCGGCTACCCCCTTTCTCAAAAGTGGGTTGCTGCCATCATCCTCCATAGTTCTACCTTTTAAACCTTATTGGAGTCTATTGCATAAATATTGTCAGAGTATTTATATCGGCAGACATCTTGTGCTATGATAGAAATTAAAAGTGAATATACTGAGTCACTCTGAACAGAGCAGACTCCATTTTGTTATTTCCAAGTTAACAAAAGACACAAGATTTCTATCTGTAAAACTAACCACTTTCCCAGAGCTAAAGGAATGCATAGTATATACAAACCAAGTGATAAGGAGAACAGGGGTTGGACAGACTGTCTAAATGCTAATGGAATATAATCAATTCTAAACCCAGACATTTGTGACAGAGAAGATTAAATAATTTAATTTTACTTTCTAAATTTTATAAGGTACCATTGTACGGAAGAGGTGAAACTTAGTTTACGAACTGTCATATCAGAAATTATAGCAGGAATTGCGGACACTAAGTCTGGACAAAACTAAGAGAAAACCCTTTGAAGTGAAAGAAAATGTAAGTTATGGCCACTATAAAGATAAAGCAAAATGATGTCAAAATAGCCACCAAGAAAAGTTAACTCTTTCCTGGATAGGTATGTTTAGTGGGACAAGACTGCCCTCTATAGACCAAATACCTAAATTGCGATCCCTAGATAACCACACCCCCAGTGTTTCTATTGGTCTAGCAACTAATGGCGTACAGAGAGTCTGGCCCTTTAAAAGTTAGGACAAAGGGGAGAAAAAGGAAAGAGAAAAGAAGAAGGGTATGCAAAGAAAGCAAAGAAGTGAGCAGTCGGAAGCAATGCAGAGAGGCCTATGACAGATATACACTCTAGGACACTCAGAAATTCCTACCCACCTCCATGCAGAGAGACATCCAAATAAGTTCCTGAGACTATCTACCAATCGGATGAAATATCTACTCAACTGGTAATTATACTGGTTTCATTTAATTAATTAAATTAATTAAATTTACTAATAGCATGATTTAGAAATCTTCCATATTTAGAAATCTTAGTTAACTAAAGAATATATAGTTATAAACATTCCATTCTGCAGGTGGAATTAAGAATAATTATATATTAGAAAATCTATTTTTATAACAAAATTGTGATTTTATTTATATGAAATACTTTTCACTTAACACGATAACGATCTTTGGGATCAGAGGATTGAATTAGTGGGCAATTCTCACTGTTTACTATTATTATCCCATAAATATCCCCACATATTGGAGGCACTGCTGAGATCGTTTAAATTTAAATTATATTTCATATATAATAATATTGGTGTAATCCATGCAATTTAATCTTGATATAGAAAAGAGTTTTGTATTGAGCATTGTGACAGTGAACGAGAAGCTCAGAGTGATGGGAGTGAAAGTGATTGCACTGTCCACTCTGAAGGCCATGTAACTGATATGCCATCTGCACTGTTGTACGGGTCTAATTCCTCTTCAGCAGACAGATCGCATAGACGTTTACCCAAACACAGAAACAGAGGTCGTAAATCAATGATGCCTGTTTATGAAACGCCAAAGGTTATTAAATTCCTTAGAGAGACTGTCCCACAATTTTCTAGAGGTTCAGGAAACATATCTGAACATCTGGAAAATTATGATAGAGCAATGAATTCATTGGGCATGTATGATGACATTCATAAGAAATGGTTCATTACATGGACCTTTGATTCAATGTGCCGTGTTTATCTAGAAAGTCTTCAAGCTATACAGTTAATGTCCTGGTCCAAGATGAAATATGAAATAATCATGGAATATGGTAAGTATAAAACCATTGCTTCTGCAAAGAAAGCTCTTTATAACTTAAAGTGCCATCCCGATCAAAGCCCCAGAGAATTTTTAATAATTACTAAAAATGCATACTCCGTGGCCCAAAGAAAACCCAGGTATGAAAGCACAGACTTCAAAGATCTGTATTTTCATGCCATGCCGGTAAACATACAAATGAATCTCGCAAGAGATTACGATTGTAAGTTGCCATTAGAATGGCTAGTCAGTCAGTGTATGAAATTGTATACTATACACCATGCACATGACGAAAATCAGCCAAAGGTTAAGAAACCTGGTGATAAAATGGTGTCAGAGACTAAAATTCAGTTAGGTTTAGAAACTCAACAGAAAAAGAGGACCTATTCCGAGGTTTTGAAAACACCAAAACCTCAGAAACTGGAAAACGCCAGAAGCAATTCTGCAAATTCCTCTAATAACTCTGAAAAATCCAATGCCAATGGGAATAAACGCCCCTGGGTTAATAAGAACTAATGCAATTCCCAATGGAGAAGGAATCCTCAGGGAAATAGGAGATATGGAAACAGAAATAACCAATCTGCTTCCAATAACTCCCAACAGTCTCAGCCATCCCAACCAAATTGTAATGGGCAAAGACAAAACGTCAATGGGAGAAATAATTTGCGTCGTCAGGTTGGTCAATTGACAGACCAGATGGGCAAATTAATGGAGGAAATGACAAAGATTAACCAAGTCTTTGCCAGAAATCCTTTTTTAGGGACAGCTCCAATTGTGGAGCCACCTGTGCAACCGCTGCAACAACAACAG